TATATATATATGTCATTCCATTACTTTATCATTTTGTCTTCAGTTTTCTTTTCTCTTTCTATTTCTGCCTCTGTCTTTGTTACTCGCCCCCGCCTCCATGATTTAATCTTACTTTTTTTTTTACTCTTTGTCTTTTCTTTCCTCTCTTTTTCTTCTTCTCTTTATTTTTTTCCCAAACACTTTCAAGTTTACACGTAAAGGGAAGCTTTTCTTTACCGCACAAGATTACCTACGATTCAATAATTTCATTGTTGCCTGCAGAGACGAAACCGGGGGAAATACCAATTAATAATCCATTGGCTCTGCATTTGCCGTCCTCGCTCATTTCCTAAGATGCCTGACACATTCCCATCTCGATGTTTACAGATGCAACTCTAACGAAGAATTCTCAGCTTCACGAACAGTCCGGTTCCCTGATTCTATTCAAGACAGTCAAATCGAGAGAGAATTGTGACAAGAGAATCTGGGTTTCATTGGAAATAAAATCACATATATTTTTCTTACCAAAAATCGTGGAACTATCTTGCAATTCTTGGCAACTCTGCGATGAAATGTAGTAGACGGATTTTTAAGCATTTGTGCATTCCAAAACATCGTTGAACTAACATAATAATGGATGCAACTTTAAGGAACAGACTCCCGCGTGGATACTTCCCAGAACACAACCTCTTCATATCTAGGGTCAATCGCTGCCTATCCCCTATATCCTCGTAATCTTCCTACTTCCTGCGCTTACGCTCAAATCACACAACGTATTCACTAACTTTCTCTACATTGAGTGTCTCCTAGGCCTTGGATTTGGCGAATCTTAGTAAAAAAATAAAATAAAATGTATTTTCAATTAACATTCCTCTAAAGCAGTCTTCTTTAAATTATTCGTTACACATTCTACATCGACAAGCGATATTGAACAAATTACTAATACGTTTCCATAATTAATTTTTTTTTAATTCTTTACTGTCTTTTCAGACAATCATCAACATTGAAGACAATTCTTTTTGTACTGTTGGCAAATTGGGAACTGATATTATTGTTGTTGGCTAAAATAAAATAAAAACAATCGCGAAATGATTCTCAATTTTGCTTTCTTTACAGTTTTGAATTCAGAGTGGCCCATAAAGTCAAGAGATTCCAGTCTATCCTACTAATTTATCTATAGGTAGAGTTGTAGAATATAGAGATTAACACCTTTCGTAACAGCATAATTGCGATGTGAATACAACCAATCACAGGTGTAATTCGAATTCAACCTGTCGATTCCATCTTCCGTTAAGCCAAACCTTATGTCTCCGTGTACAATTTTAAAACGTAAACGTAAAAAAAAACGGATCTTTCATATGTTTCTATTACTCTCTGCAATGCCTTAGGCCTTTAAGCATAATTGCCCACACTTTTAGAATCGTTGTCCTAAAACATTCCTGTTCTATTAAATTAACATAAAAGTTAATACGAGGCTGTTGATTAAATAAAGATGACAGTTTTATGACCTCTCATTAATTTTAATGTAGAGAATGGAATCGGGTTTGAGAGAAAAGACTGTAAGTTCTAAGGTGCGTGAGGAAAATCGAAGTCCTGTTTTTGATCTATAGCTGATCAATAACTGATTTTAACTGACGTTTAGGGATATCTCCACTTGTATTTCTTTACGACAACTCAATTGTTGATCTTCAGCAAACATCTGGAGATATCTCCACGAGTTTTTGTTTAGTACTCCTCAATTATTGATCTTCAACTGACATCTAGGGATATCTCCACTTAATTTTATTTATCACTGCTCAATAACTGATCTTCATCTGACATCCATAGGCATCTCCAATTGTTTTTATATAGTGCTGCTCAATTATTGCTCACAGACACATCGCCTTAATACGAACAGTGATGAGGCCTATAGTCCGCATGTAAATTATGATAAATTATCAATCCAAGACATTTAGACAGAAAGATTTAAATCTACACTATTTACATTATTCGGACTATTGTCCTCATCTTTCTCATATTTATTACAACTTTTCGGCTATTGTACGCTCCGGCCTTCTTCAGGTGGTTGAAATATCGAACTGAACCCTTTATTTCGGTCACTGGAGTAGACTATTCTAGTTCCACAACCTTCAGCAACATTTTTTTTACCAGTGCTCATATTGAGTTTTTGCAATTATCATTTTATGTTTTTACCATAGCTCATATTGCAATTTTTGTTGTTATTATCGCTTTTCTCTGAGCAGGTGGTAAAAAATGTTGCTAAAGACATTAGGTTTATAATACCCAGAAATTCATACACAGATGTCAAGGACACATGGCACAGTGGATAAAGGAGTGCGAGTTTAATACCCGGTAAGCAGTTGAGAACTCGGAGAGGGGGATTAACAGGAGATAACTGATAACTGACATCCATTAAACATGGCACGAGGAACTAGAACAGTTTACTCCAGTGAGCGAAATAAAGGATTCAGTTCGACCTTCCAACCACCTGAAGAAGGCCGGCGCATACAACGGCTGAAACGTTGTAATAACAAATATGACGACAAAGATGAGGACAATAGTCCGAATAATGTAAATATTAACAATCCGTCGTTTTGCAATTGATGTTTAGTCCTTTCTTCTCGCTTTCCTTTACCCCCTCCTTCTCTAGAAGTACATGTAGTTTCCTTTCTGTGTCAACACTACCAACACTATGTAATCTGCATATTTAATATTGTTATGATTGTGGCCGCCCATAATACATTTTGGTCGAACTTCTATTTCTCCCCGGACTTATTCAATATATATAATGAGGAGATCCGGGGAGAAGACACATCCTTGCCTTACACCCACCTTTCTATTTTTGTATATTTACTTAATTAATGTCTTATATGTATGCAATAAATAAATATGGCGACAAAGATGAGGACAATAGTCCGAATAATGTAAATAGTGTACATAATACCTCATCTCATAAATATAGACAGATACTGAGATTTAAATCTTTTCAAAATAATTCATTTCGAAATGTAATTCACATTTCGCGAACATTTTATATTTTTTTATTGATTATTCATAGCAATCAGCTTTTCCTACGTTTCTTGCATGAACTTGAAGAATTGTTTTAATTAATGCTTCTCGAAGTATCTGAATGAAAACATTTGTCTAAAACCGATATATACTTTCAGACATTCAATCAGTCAATGAATTATTGATTAGAGTTGATGCAAATGTATCTCGATGAGACCAAAGCAGATATTACTGCAGACGCAGGTGAAAAGACGCAAATATATATTATGTAATCAATGTTTCAATTATCAATTGCTAATGCATTTTCCCTCATTTAATTAGCATTAAACAATAACTCAAAATAGAAAAGATGTATTAACTGGTCATTTCCTCACATCTTTTGACATATTAATATCCAGTATGAGTGTGTGTGTGTTAAATCATCACTATGTTCTTTTCACAATTAATAAAAATAGATTTATTATACAATATAATTGATTTTTCAGCTTTACATTTTTCTTCTCAATTCACTTAATACTTATATATATATATATATATATATATATATATATATATATATATATATATATATATATATATATATATATATTTAAGCGTTTCGCCCCAAGAAAGGCGGGAAGCCACTAGGACACAAGGGGTTACAGAAGATCAGATAGGAGTGATAGAAGAAAGGATGAGGAGAAGGGTAGTGGATAGATCAAGGCAACTGGAGATGTCGATTGACATTACATTTGAATAGCTGGAGATTATAGCTCTCAGGGAAACTAGAATAAGGAAGGGAGTTTTACAGGCGAGAGGTGCGAGACATGAAGCTATTGGAGGAGAAGAGACGGCTACATTTCGGAGTTTCGACAGTGAAGGGCTGAGAGTGGGGTGCCAGCCTCGTCGGGCGCTTGAACTCATGAAATATATATATCTTTATATATATATATATATATGTGTGTGTGTGTGTGTGTGTGTTCTCGCACGCGAGTGTGTTTGCGTAATTGATATGCGCACGAATTTTACTATTTTTTGACAGCACCTGACAAGACAACCTACGAGAGAGGGTGAGGTATATGTAACCAATATTACAATTTAATGTAGACTACAATTTAATGTAATGTAAGACTAAATCTCCAGTAACCATAATAAAAAATATTATGGTTACTGGAGATTTAGTCTCACAAAAGATATGAGAATTCACAATTCTCATTTAATTAGTATTAAAAAATAACTTAAAATATTAAAGATATATTAACTGGTCATTTCCTTACATCTTTCGACATAATAATATCCAGTGTGTGTGGGTGTATGTTTGTGTGTGTGAAATCATTACAATGTCTTTTTCACAATTATTGAATAATAGATGTATTGTACGAAATAATCTATTTTTCAACTATATATTTTTCTTGTCAGTTAAATTAATTCGTTTGTTAATTTATACACACACACACACACACACACATATATATATATGTGTGTGTGTGTGTGTGTGTGTGTGTATGGATGTGTGTGAATCTGTGTGTGTGAGTGTGTATGTGTGTGTGAAAGTGCGCGCAATTGATATGTGCACGAATTTTACTAGTTTTTGACAGCACTTTACAAGTCAACCTACGAGAGAGTGTGAGGCATATGTGGCCATTACTACAATTTAATGTTGGTTCTTTGATTATTGATATTGGAGATTCAATCTCACAAACGATATGAGAATTCACAAATACCATTGGTAGGCTTCCTGTCCGGAATTATTGAAAATAATTAGCTTAGATAATTTAAACATTTTATAGAAAATAATGAATCAATGTTATTTGTTGGTATCGTTAATCGATACAACTGACGAATTATATTTTTGAAGGATTTTATCTTGCGAGAGGAAGAGTGAGAGGAAAATAAACATTGATTGAATGATTCGTTTTGCAAGCCTTATCAACCCATTGCAGGTTATTTAAAGCCAGATTTTCTTTTACATTTCTTTTAGATAATAAGGACATAGTGAAAAAAGTCATATAAATAGATAGATATGAATAGAATCAAATAGATAGATAGATAGATAGATAGATAGATAGATAGATAGATAGATAGATAGATATGAGCAGACTAAGATATGAAAAACTGAGATAGATAGATAGATAGATAGATAGATAGATAGATAGATAGATAGATAGATAATGAACAAACTGAGATAGAGATGAGCGGACTGAGATAGATAGATAGAATAATAGATAGATAGATAGATAGATAGATAGATAGATAGATATGAACAGGTTAAAATAGATAGATAGATAGATAGATAGATAGATAGATAGATAGATAGATAGATATGAGCAGACTAAAATATGAAAAACTGAAATAAATAGATAGATATTAACAGACTAAGATAGATAGATAGATAGATAGATAGATAGATAGATAGATAGATAGATAGATAATGAACAGTCAGGAATAGATAGATAGATAGATAGATAGATAGATAGATAGATAGATAGATAGATAGATAGATAATGAACAGACTTAGATAGAGATGAACGGACCGAGATAGATAGATAGATAGATAGATAGATAGATAGATAGATAGATAGATTTTAACTAATTTCACCTTTCTTCATACAAAAATCCGTTTCTAATTTCTCCAGCAAATACTGTTAATGTAAGAATCTATCAATCAGACACTTAACACCAATCAGGTTTAATTTTTGCTAATATAGATTTTCATTCTTGTGAAATCAAATTTTTTTTAATGACATACGATAACCATCTAAATTACTCGATATAAGAAGAATAAAGTAAGTTTCTAAATTTATATATATATATATATATATATATATATATATATATATATATATATACTCGACTATTATGTGCTAGATTTATGATTATTATTTCACGCTAATGATAGGTTGTCTCATTATACACTGGGGAATGTTTTTTGAAAAGGTTTGCATCGCTACACAAAAACTTTCATGTTTCGGAACTATAATCTTTCCTCTTCGGCCGATGGTAGATATAATAATATATGTATATATAGATATATATATATAATTTAATAAAATTTAGATATATATAATTTAATAAAAACATATAGATATATATAGTTTAATTAGGAAATATCTTTACATAATATACAATAAACAGGGACGAATATAGTTCCGAAACATGAAAGTTTTTGTCTAGCGATGCAAAATGTTTTAATTGTAATCTATTATAATAAAAATATTTTAATAATATTTTGCTCTACGCTGAGTTGAGCACTTAAAAAAAAAAGTAAATGCTAAGAACTGTGGATTCTAACTCCATCTGTTCTTTCACTTTATTAAGAACAATATATATATATATATATATGAAAAATTTCTCAGTGTTAACCTGCAGAAAACGAGAATATTTATAAATGTAAAAGACAATAGGAAAACTGGAAGAATTTATACTGTTAACTGAAATTACGTCAATTACAGTCACGTGTGGAGATATTGTTCTTATTGTTGTGTTGACAGATTTAACCATTGTCTCCCAAACACGCTGACAGAACAGTATCAAGAATTCAAAAGAAAATTTTAATTTCAGTTAACAGTATGAAAATAGCGTTCTCTAAATTCTTCCATTTGCAAAGGACATTTTGTTTTGTTATTATTAATTACTTCGTTTAATAACTTCATTTCGTTTTGCCTTGAGAAAGTCCTCATCGGACGAAACGTGTCGGCATCTATTACAATTTTTGCTATTATATGCGCGGTACTCTCCAATCCCTTGAAATATTACTATCACATCATATCATATAGACCCGTTATTAAATTGAACCACCCTCTCACCCAGTATATTAAACATCACCATATAAATTAAACAATAAGTATTACAAATTTTTACCTGTTACATATACTCAGTCACCAAAAACAAACAAATAACCAGCTTTAAATATAACAAATAAACCCCCATTTTTTTCAAAAATTTAAAAATAAATATAAATAATTATAATAATAATTTTTACCTATCATAATTTTACACAAACCCCACCACACGTATATACATACATGCGAGGAAATATTATTCAGCGGAAAAATACATAATATGACATGTATCCATTCACGAGACATTCACGAGACATTTCCGCCACACTTCCAATCTTTAAATTTCAACATTTCAACATGCAAATGCGTATGTATAGACATAACACCACCCGTATACATACATGTGTCATAGCCGAAACTGCCCACATACGTTTATATATGTATGAGTCCCGACGGACGACCAAGTATGCATATGTGTCTGCATACATCGATGTTTGCGTTAGTCCGATGAATGACAAAACGACGAAATTTCCCCCCACCACTTCCACAATAACACCAATACACGCAATCTACATAAACCCAAATTTTTTAAAACATTAATCAGTTTGTTTGACAATCGCTAAAGCGTGAAACCCAGGGTCACAAACTCACATCTATCCAACCAAATATATATATATATATATATATATATATATATATATATATATATATATATATATATATATAAACTTATTTATATATTTATATATATATATATTGAACAATAAAAAAATATCAAAAAATTAAAATCTTTAGACACACTGGGTTGTAGATTAGTAGTTTTTCGTTTTTTTTATTATTATTTCATTTAGAGCATATATTTATATATATAAGTTGACATCTATTACAATTTTTGCTATTGTCTTTACACACACACACACACACACACACACACACACACACATATATATATGTATATATATATAGATATATATATATAGATATATATATATATATATATACGTTATCTATATATATATAAACTTATATATATATATAAACTTATTCATATATATATATATATATATATATATATATATTCATTTAGAGCATATATTTATATATATATATAAGTTGACATTGCTTAAACACAATCGGCAATCCATGTGCGCTGTGTTTTGGCACGACTGTTTATAAGTATATGCTGGCCACTGATGCATTTTGGGTAGGTCTATTGCATTATTCTAACGGTTATAGGTTGGGCTGTTACGGATATGCTTTGAATTATTTTAGGTGGTATTGAGTGGATATAATTGAGGATCAGAATGCGATTTTATTGCTGTTTCATATTATTGTTTACTATCTTTAATATTCATTGCTTTGTTATTTGTTGCTGATTGTCATTATTGAGATTTTGAGATGCGTCCTGGTCATTTATCTTGTAATTCGCGTTTGTCTATGAAGATAATTCTAGCTATTTTCACCGTCTTGGGATTTACTGTTGCAACTTGATGTTCTTTTTCTTATTTTCCATGATAGTTTTGGTTTGACAAGTTTTTGCTTTTAAATTTGCTAATTGCTATGGGACTTTACCGATAATAACATAATGGACTATTCCATAAGTAATAAATACTGCGCCTCAAGAGGAAGCAGGGAGTTCCGTCTGAAGTCGGACGACTGGCTGACCGGCTGATCGGTTGAACTATCTGCCTTCGGGCGGGGGAGGAACCCGAACGAGGCTACGCCGAAGGGCGGAGTCTCTTTCGGGGAGGTAAACCGACCCTGAACCCGTTTATACGGGTTTAATGGGCATATTTTTGGCCGAATACACGGGCTCGGAGATCAACTTTAAACCGGCCTTGTGACACATGATGCCCTCGTACGGTGGGGGGGTGACTAGATATCGTTCCGTCTGAAGTCGGGCGACCGGCTGACCGGCTGACCGGCTGACCGGTTGAACTCTCTGCCTTCGGGCGGGGAGGAACCCGAATGAGGCTACGCCGAAGGGCGGGAGTCTCTTTCGGGGAGGTAAACCGACGCTGATCCCGTTTATACGGGTTCACTGGGCATATTTTTGGCCGAGTCTATGGGCTCGGAGATCCCACGTTAAACCGGCCTTGTGCCACATGGTGCCCTCGTGGGGGGGTGACTAAATCCTGTTCCGTCTGAAGTCTGGAGTGAATTCCGTCAGGAGTCTGTCAGTAAGTCAGAGCGAGCGAGTCAGTCAGTTGAGTCAGAGGCAGTCCAAAACAGAGTCGCGTTCAGACAATTACTACTAAACCTGATTGTTCGTACTAACACTTTCTGCTTCTCTGTATATATTCCTGTTTGTAATATATCTGTGTTATTCCATATCCGCGTTCGAGTTCTTCTTTATTGGTTCTACCTTGGACTGTCACCGTGGTACAAGGAACCGGACCACAACACTAATGTAGTTTAAAACATCATGACAATGGCATAATGGTCATTAGTACAGAAAATGGAGCTAAGCGGGACACTTACAGTCACTTCGTATTAATAACCGTGGGAATGATAACGTGAGGCATTTAGGGTTAATAATACACCCGTGGAGTCAGCCTGGTGTTTTGAGCAACGTTCTGAGTCAAAAGATTAGATCCTACCTCACCTTCATTGAACATCGGGGATATTCCTGCAAGAAAGTTTTTTTTTTTTTTTTTTTTGTTAGTTTGATTTGTTTATCAGAGAAGCAATACACCGTGCCGTGTTCAAATATCAACCAAGGCAGTTTTCTCATAAATACATTTTGAAAGGTATGAGTCAATCTCTTCTCTTCTGGTCTCCCTGCTAGCCATTGCTATATTTGGATCTTAAGCCTTGGTTTGTAAGCAGTCTAGTAGAAAGAAAATGCTTGAATTAAAAAAAATCTGTTGGCCGTGGGGCAAACATCTTCAGCCTGTAAAAAAAAAAACTACTTATTACAGAAACAACAGCAGCAAAGTCTATCGTAGCGAGACTGTGGACCTATACTCCGCCGTAAGAACTACTATTTCAACTACAGAAGGTCCTCGGGTTATGTCGAACTCGACATACAGCGTTTCGTGGTTACGACGCTAGCTCGCATAATACAGGGTGGGGCAGAGCAACTTGCTTATTTAAATTTGGCGCCCTAAAGCGATGGTTGCTCCAAGGATGGTAGGGATGGACTTATTTGAGAGGGTGGGGCTTAAAGTTTGGTTCTTAACGTGCGTTATTTATTTTTTGTTTTTTTTTCAGGAACCCCAGTGAGCATCATGGAGTGGACGAAGTTGGAA